GGGCTTTTATAAACCTTCTGAGAATTCATGTCAGGTTTTATTTTGCTTGTTTTTTTTTTTTAGACTGGGTCTCCCTGTAACCCCATCTGGCCTGTAACTGCCTACCAAGCTAGTCTTGATCTCACAGAGATCTACCTGCCTCTGCCTTAAGTGTGCTGGGATTAAAGGCATGCATCACTGCACTGGCTTATATTAGTTTTGTTTTTGTTTTAAGTATATCTAGAGAAAAGATTTGAGCTTGAAGATCAACATTTATGAATAGTTTGACAAATGTAGACACCGAGTCTGATGGCTACTTGTCTCAAGAAATAATAGCTTAATAATTATTTTTATTGATTTTTTTTGAATTTCGTACAATATATTTTGATCATATTTAGACCCCTTCCCTATCTGCACTCCCCTTACCACCCCCACCTGATTTCATGCACTACTATTCTATATATTTAAGATCTATCAGGTAAAACTTTGTCCCTAAGTATCCTTCATAATTCTTGATTATGAGACCTAAACATATTGTGTTTTCTGCAGGTGAAATTCCAAACCTATTGCCAGAAGGTTCTATAGATGAGGAAACAAAGACCGTACTGGTGAATGCTGTCTACTTCAAAGGAAAGTGGAAAACCCCATTTGAGAAGAAACTAAATGGGCTTTATCCATTCCGTGTGAGCTCGGTATGAGATAAGATGACATTTTCCTACCATTTGTTATAGTCTTAAGACAGAGAAGGAAAACTGAGAGACTGCTCAGAGATTTTCCTGTATAGCTTGCTAGTTACAGCTTGTGCATATTGAACTTTGACTCTTTCAAGCTGCTGAATAGCATTTAATAGTTTTTTAAGAGACAGGGTGAGTAGAAGTGAAGACCATGGCTTTACAACTACACTGCGTGGACTCAAGGCTGGTTCTACTACTTTCCTTATGACTTCACTTAGCACCTATACATTCTGCTGTTGATCTTTAAATCTAGAATAATATTTAGCTCAAAAGACTGTTGTAAATGTTCAACAGGATTTACTAAAATTCTTGGCCCAGTTTAAGTACCAAATAAATGTTTTCTTTATTACTATTATTATCATTTATTATTATTATTATTTTACTAAGTAATGATTACAAACTTAAGAAAGCCAGTAAGTTCAGAGAACATAATTTAAGGACATACAAATAACTTACTTAGTTGATTCTAGAAAACACATCTTTATCACTGAGGCAGAAACCATTCTCTTTGAGTCTAATTGTAAATCTCTTCAACATCTGAGACTTGACTTTCATGTTTGACATTTTGATAATTTTAGCATCAAAGCATACCTGTCCAGATGATGTACCTCCATGAAAAACTGAACATTGGATACATAAAGGATCTAAAGACTCAGATTCTAGAACTCCCATATGCTGGAGATGTCAGCATGTTCCTGTTGCTTCCAGATGAAATTGATGATGCATCCACTGGCTTGGAGTTGGTAAGGCATTGCAACGTCAATTGTTTTAAATTTCTGTAGCTAAATTTGTTTTCTTGAGATGAACATTTATACTTTAGAAAATGGCATATAATTTCTTTTTTGAATTCTTCTTATTTTTTAATTTGTTTGAGAATTTATACATGCATATAGTGTTTTGATCAAATCTATCCCGACTCCCTACATTTTAACTCCTCCCACACTGCTCCCTTTCTGCTTCATGCACTTTTCTTTAAGCTTGCAGAGTGCACTTAATGCTGCTGGTATGTGCATGGGTATAGGGCCATCCATGGGTAGCCCATCAGAGCTGCATCCCTGAGGAAAGCTGGCTGTCCCACCTCCAGCAGCTACCAGTGTTTTCCAGACTCAGGCCATTGCACACATGAATTCAGAGTAGCTGTGACTGCATGCCCAAGGCCTACACCAGATCAAACCAATCAAATTCCAGTATGAATGGGGGATTGACTCAAGAAGTCTTACCCTGAGCTGAGGAGCTATTGGTGATTGATTTTTATTTTATGTATACGAATGTATTGCCTGCATGTATGTGAGTGCACTGGTGTCATGCAATGCCATGGAGGTCAGAAGAGGGTGCCAGATTCCCCTGGAACTGGAGTTAAGGATGGTTCTTAGCTGCCATGTGGGTACTGGGAATCGAACCTGCGTCCTCTGTAAGAGCAGTTGATGCTCTTAACCACTGAACCATCTATCTCTTCAGCCCTGGAGATTGGTTTTTAACTTTAGGCTTTGAGTTGTTGTCCTTCCTTTCTCAAACTCATTTTTGTTGTTGTTATTGTGGTTTATTGTTTTTGCTTTGCAGCTGGAAAGTGAAATAAACTTTGATAAATTCAACAAGTGGATCAGCAAAGACACAATGGCTGAGGATGCTGTTGAAGTTTACATTCCTCAGTTCAAGCTACAAGAGCGATATGAACTCAAATCGATTCTGAGACGCATGGGCATGGAGGATGCCTTCAACAGGGGCAAAGCCAACTTTTCAGGAATGACAGAGAGTAATGACCTGTTTCTTTCTGAGGTGTTCCATCAAGCCATAGTGGATGTCAATGAAGAGGGCACTATAGCAGCTGGCGGCACTGGGGCTGTTATGACAGGGAGAACTGGTCATGGAGGCCCACAGTTTGTGGCAGATCATCCTTTTCTTTTCTTTATCATGCACAAAATTACCAAAGTAATCCTATTTTTTGGTAGATTCGCCTCACCCCAAATGCCTGCTCCTGTATAATATTTTGTAGTATGAGCTAGGAACTTCAGAATTCCTTTCTCAAGTGTCGAAACTTTAGAGACATTTTCTACATATTTCTTTAATTTTGAACTTCTGCTGCACACTAAATATAAAATCAAAAATGACTATACAACTGTCAACATAATTGCATGACAATGCTATTAATCATTTAATCTAAAACTAGATGGTGTCTGTCTAGTTCACCCTTACTTTTGCTTTATTTTATAGTACTAGCTTTTACTGTGTTATTTATTATTTATATAATAGCGGTTTGTAAATTATTGTTCACTGTCTATTTAATGTAAATGCAACATTGCAGAAGTAGGCAGCCAGTTAATTTTCTAGCTAAAGAAATGCAGTCAGTGGATTTAATAGTGAAGAGTATGGATCCTTCTATGTTCTTCCATAGTGTCTACCCAGAGGAAAGCATTGAACAACAAGCAAACATGTTGTATTTGTAGCATTATGTGTCACATATATGTTTCTGCAACTCATGCATAATCACAAATACTTAATAAATAAGCATGCTTACCCACAGCTACTTGTTGTCATTCCATGCAGAGCAGCATCATGCCTGCCATTTCTTGTTTGTTATTTGTCTTTTCATTGCTGTAACAAAATACCTGAGACAATCATCTTAAAGGGGAAAGATTTATTTTAGCTTATTGTTTTAGAGCTTTCATTCCATGATTGCTTTTGAGTCTGTGGTGGGGACGTGGAACCTGTAGAAGGTGTGTAGAACAGTGCTGCTCACCTCATGGACAGAATGCAAAAGAGAGAGACCAGTATCTCATAATCCCCTAGGTGAGCATATGCCCTGTGATCTGAGACTTTCCATCTGGCCCTGTCTCTTAAATGTTTCCATTACCTTCTAATAGCGCCACCCAGAGGACAACTGGGACTTTGGGAGACATTCTATACCCAGGCTATCACATCTTGAATCCCAAGAGTTGACCACCATCAGTCACTTGTGGAAACATAGGAAAAAAAGCAAAAAGGAGTTAAGATCATAACCACCTATCCTGCACAAAGATCTAATGTTGAGAGTGAGTGAGATGGATTGTATGGAAAATGGATCAGAGTTCCTTTCTCATAACAACACAAACATAGCAAATCAGAATAGCCTATGTCAAAGTCCTTTGAGGCATATTTTGGAGGAAATGGGGCTTTTGGAAGGCAATTAGGGGTACATTGGTTTACAAAGTAGAGAACCTATGATCAGAATAGGTACTCTTAAGAGGCAGTGAAAGGACCAGAGTTCTCACTTTCAGAACACGTGAAGATACAACCAGGAAGCAGCCACCGAGGAATGGGAGGAGGGCTCTCACCCGAAGCTGCTGTGCTGGCCCTCAAGCCACATAGAATGCTAACTCTTCCAGCCTTCAGAATGCTTAAGAATAAATGCTTCTCTGAGGCATTTGGTTTATGGCATTCAGTTACAGCAGCTCAATGGATTAAAATGCCATTAGCTACTCAATTGCCACTGCTCTACTCTTCTTTCTTCTGGGGTTTATTGAAATAATTTTGATGCAGCTAGATGTCATCCATCTGTTTCTAAAACTTTTGGAGTATTTAACTAATTTGCAATGTTCACACCTGAATATCACTAAAAGACTAGAGGAAAAGCTTTTCTTGTATTCTCATCATTCGCTTCATTTCTATTGCTCTGCCCTGACTGGTAATGTATGTGCCTAAGTATATACCTGTGTGTGTGTGTGTGTGTGTGTGTGTGTGTGTGTGTGTGTGTAACTCAATGACATAAACTTGATGACTTAAATAAGAAACATATATAATTATACATGTATATGTACACACACACATGCACATACATACGGAACAGAGTATTCACAGCAATGACAACAGAAAACTATGCTAATAACAGTAATAGTAATAATAGTACATTATTAATTTAGGATATTATTTCATTCTCTCTCTCTTTCTCTTTCTCTCTCCCTTGCTCTCTCTGTCTTTCATTTCTTTTGTGGTACTGGGGATTGAGCTTAGCATCTTATAAATGCTAAGAAAATACAATTGAGCTTAATCCCCAGCTATTTATTTATTTATTTATTTATTTATTTATTCATTTACTTATTTATTTTGAGGCAGTGTTTAAAATGTTTTATTATCATTTCTTTCTTTAAGAAGTAACATGATTACACTGAAATATTTTGTATAGGTGGAGAATTTGGAAAGGGAGTGAGTAGCAAACATACTATAGGAACAGTGACAAATTATACTTTATTTACATTTTCCACAGCCCGCCCCCGAGGTCCCAGATTGTATATGGTAGAGGCTTTGTCTTTTATGTAGGGACAGGGGAGGCCTCTGATATTTGTAGATCCTGGTCATAGGAGGAATGATTCTCTAGAGTGGACCTCTTGCCTCTCCTGACAGCCAGCTGTGGTCTTTACTCCACAGGTAGTCCTGGGTATCCAGACCTTGACGTTGGACCGCTCCCGTTGAGTTTTCTATTATTTTTTGGTTACTTTTCTACAACCTCAATATGCCTTCACCTATGCCCTAACAGAACTTCTGGAGATAAAATATAGTCTGGGAAGTATCTTATTAAGGTGTCCAGGCTAGCCTTGAACTTGTGATCCTTCTGCCTTAAGTTCTTGCATAGCTAGCATTACAAGCCTGTGCCACCAGGTTCCCCTACTTGCTTTCCTTTCTTGTCTCTAAAATGGAAGGAAATAATGCACAAGCATGATTGCATTGTTATAGGCAGTATGTTTATCGATGGGGATTTTAATTAAGCTGTAACTGAAAAAAGAATATAGAGAAGGTTTGGGGAGGGAAATTATTTCAACTTAGTCTTGTGACTTTTATGAAGTTGAAACAACTTCTTGGGTAACTCAGCAGACTCTAGATATAAATGTACTTAATGCAACATAAATTACTAGAACAAGCCTTCCTGTTGAACAGTGATGCAACCCAAGTCACTCTGCTGAACTGCTGTCAGTCAAATTCCTTCTATCTAGAGCCTCCACATGATGCTTGCAACTAAGAATAGAGCTAGGGTCATACATGGGTAATAATATCTGCTCTGCACAGAACAAGTAAGCATCACAGAATTTCCTATCACAGGCTTTGCTCACTTGTGCAATCAAGAGCAACACCCTACTGTGGTCTCTTTACCAATTTTCAAACATTAAACTTTGAACTCATTTATCAGAAGATAGGCACGAACCTGTGAAGGTAAATATGGAAACAGTATCAAATGCAGTCTAAGTAGAGAGGTTCTTCCTTTCTCTGAATTCCTTTTGGACAATTTGTGGGATTCCCCTGCCTTTATTCATTCCCTTCACCATTCTCATTCACATACATGTGAAGGAAAGAAAGCATTGCCATAGTGGGTTTGTGTGTGTGAGTGTGGTGTGTGTGTGTGTGTGTGTGTGTGTGTGTGTGTGTGTGCAGTGAGTAAAGAGTGGGCCTATGAATGCTATTAGTGAAAACAAGGGAACTCTAAAATGAGTGATGTCCCACATAACAACAGCAGCCAAACTGTATCCCAAACTTGTTCGTGATGGGGAAACTGACTCTGATCCAAGTCTCATTCTGGGTTCTGTATTGGCACTGTACGTAAGAACAGAACATGCCCATGTACTTCTCACAGAATATTCTAAGAGACACTTTAACAGAGTAGCAGTAAGTGACAAAGTGATAATATCTTCCATTTCATTGCCCATCATTATCCTGCTTGAAGATTTCTTTTTTTCCTTTTTAAAGAATCATACCACAGGAAACCATTGTTAATTGTTGCTAGTTGGCAATCTGTAGACGGGGTTTAGTTTTATGAGTCACAATTTCACATAAGAATTCATGTTTCTGCATGCAGACTCATATGGAAAATGTAATTAAATAATTCAAGCAAGGCCTTGGCTGTCTACCTCTTTGACTTATTTGAACTTCGGGCCAAGATAAGTCTGAAAGGAAGAGAGTGATGGCTTATGAAAATGAATCAAGGGTGGGGCTGAGAGGAAGGAGGGGCTACCATTTCTTTTTTAAAAGTTTCTTCAGTTACAAATTACCTAACTCTTCAGCCACGGTCTCTTACTAAAGGAACAGATTGCAAATTCTGCTCCAGCAGAGGGAAATAAGGTATTGTAAATATTTCTTTGGTTAAAATGTTTATTTATGTTTTTCCATATTGTGGGTACCTTGCTGAACAAGCAAACACTTAAGATCCCTACTCACAACTCAGAATAATAGATGAGGCTTCATTCCCTAAGAATTTTTCTGTGCAAGTCAGAAACTTAAACTTGAATGGGTTTAAAGTTTTTTGTTGTTGTTGTTTTGTTTTTTTTTCTTTTGGGTTAAAAGTTTTTATTCAGGGCGAAGGAGAAGACACGTTAATTATAAGGAAGCTTTGGAAGTTGTTTTGCCAGAAGTTGTGAGAACATGAGTGGGATTTCTTTCCTCCAGTTGTATTTGAATTTGCCAACTATTAGCTTGTATCTGTCACCTTAAACAAAGAGAAATAGAATATTATATTCTTAGGATAATTAAGCGCATACAGTCATGACACGTCAGATGTGTTGCTTGATGGCATGAACTTTGATATGTGGAATGGTTTGTGAAGCTGCCATCTACCTAGCATCTGCTCTTCTGCCTGTCAGCAGTCCAAGGCTGTTATCTTTCTCTCCGATAAATTATCTAAGTCCTAATGCCTACCTTACTCTTCAAACAACACCTTCCTCAGATAAAAAGCTCCAGGCAAATAGGGAAGGGCTGGGAGGCAGCAAAGATGCTAAATTTGGTTGTGCTCAGCTTCATGAAGAAGGTGGCACTGTCAGTATTATCTTAAGTAAGGAAAATGGTCTTGGGTATTCTTTCATGGGACAAGAACGAGGAAGCTCTCTCTTACTCCATCCTGAACTTCCTTCTCATCCCTCTGCTGAACTCCTTTTGCCCCCTAGTAGCCCTTCATTATTCAATCTCTCTCTAACCATCAAAATCCCAAAGGCCAGGAGCTATTCTGATGCAAGCATTTTGAGAAGAGAACTGCACTTCCAACTGTGACATTAGCTATGTATAACTAGTCATCTTATTTAACTAACTCTCTGGTCCTGAGTTTCTTCACAGATTAAATGAAATTTTTTGACTAGAGAGGCTCTCAGGTTTTTCCCAATGCTCTTATGCTAGAAGTGTATCTTTTTATAATGATATTTTGATGAGTTTTTGATTTTTTTTCTTACACTTAGTATCTCTTCAGTGTGCACAGATAATATATACATTTGTGTATTTTAGATATACATTCAGCTTATATAATTTAGAATGTCTGAAAATTTCTAAAGAGCAATTCGTTTTGAAAATGACACAGTAGGGCTCAAGGGAGATAGCTGGTAAATTGCTTGTGTCACAAAAAGGGGTACCTGAGTTTGAGCCCAAGAAATGACATAAAAATCCAGACAGAGTACTTCATATTTACAATGCCAGTCTTAGGGAGGTGGAGATCTGTAGATTCCCTGGAGTTTGCTGGTCAGCCAGCCTACTCTACTTGGTGAATCTCAGGCCAGTGAGACACCCTGACTCAAAAAACCTGGTAGGCAGTTCCTGAGTAGCAACACTTGAAGCTGTCCTTTGACCTCTATACATGCACCCCCACATGCATCTGTACACACACACACACACACACACACACACACACACACACACACACACACAGAAAGAGAGTGAGAGAGAGAGAAAACAACACAATATGCTTCTTATTGTTCAATAGCTATGTATATAATCTCATCTTAAAATTCTGCACCTTTCAGAAATCACTTCTGACTGGTTTGATGGCTCATTTAATACTTCCTTACATTTGATTTTAAAAGGTGGGGTTGTCATGTATATGTTTCAGGATATACCTCATAAGTCACCGGTGATATTAATAATGATAAAGGTAAGTGGATATTAACTTTCCACAAGAAGCTACCTCTTTCGTCATAAAGAAGTACAGTTTTCAGGAACTTATTACACATGGATAATCCAGATAATCTTAAACTACAAGCTGAAAGATAAAACCCCAGGTTTTAAGGCATTGCTTTCCCTCTGCTTTTTACAGTCAGTGAGGTTTGGCCAAGGGGCCAAACATTATCCTTGTGAATGTCATTCATGAGTTTTAGAAATATAAAGGGTACTGTAAGTGCTGTAACCAAAACATCACCTGAATGAATAAAATCTTAAAAGAATTAGAGAAATTTAAAAAATACAGAAAGTTTCCAAGAGCTTATGAGAGGGTAGACTACAGCACAGGAATGTTTTTCTAAAAAATATTTTATTTATTATTTTTATTTTATGTGTATGAATGTATTGCCTGCATGTATGTAAGTGCACCCATGTTGTGTAATGACAGAGGAAGTCAGAGGAGGACATGGGATTCCCCTGCAGCTGGAGTTACAGACAGTTGTTAGCTGCCATGTGGGTGCTGAGAATCAAATCCAGGTCCTCTGCAAGAGCATTCAGTGCTCTTAACTGCTGAGCCATCTCTCCAGCCCTGCATAGGAATGTTTTTATTTCTTCAAATACTGTTCATTTGGGTTCACCAAGAGCTTTCACAGTGGGTAGAAGCCACACCTAGGGTGTGGCCTAGAGGCTGGGAAACGGTTTAGTGAATCTTATGACTGAGAGGGATGTTAAGAGTGTCAAAGGATGATGAAACCAAAACTCTACACATGCCTCTCCTTGATTCTATTTTTATTTTTATTTATTTTTTTTACCACCGAGACAGAACCTCTGACTTTCCCAAAGCCCTTGTGGTAGGTTTCTCAGAGGGCAGGTGATATGGGGCAAGACAAAACTCTATAAGCACAAGTACCTATAGGAGTTCTTAGAACTAGATATTTAAATTAAACACCAGGGCAGTTAGAGGTGAAGTTTAAAAGATGAATGTGTTATAACAAAGAAAGAAAATTTGAATTCTCTTGTTCAAGAGTAAGGAAAGAAAAGGCAAACTACTTTCAACTTCTGTATAAGAATTCCCACTTAATTGTATATGATCTCAAGTTACAGTAAATAAAATATGACTGTGTTCCAGATAGTAAACATTATATACAAATCATAGATAGCATCTGTAAGCACCTGTTTGAGGCAAAGTGCTGAGCTACATGCGGTTGGATGTTCAGAGAGTGTGTGAAAAAAATTTTACTCCCAAAAAAGCTTGGAAAGACTAGATACAGGCATATAAGCAAGTGGTATAATAAATGTCAAAGAAGTGGCAAAATTATGTCATAGCATTCACCTGCCAATGGGTCACAATTCAGATGTTTTCTGTGGTTCAATAGCCCTAAATTTTTAGGGACAATCTCTTGAGTTCTTTGGATTTCAGTGTAACAATATGTAAAACAATTATGTTGGGGTAGAATTGTATTGAAATTCATTCAGTTTTTTAAAATAGTTGTATATAGAGATAGGTATCCATATATGGATGGATGATTTTACAGAAGTAAACTAAATGGAAAGGATTTAACACTGAGGAGCTCTCGGTTTTTTGCTTTGCTCACAGGTTTCCTCAATGGCCTCACTAGCAGCATCCATCAACCAGTTTGCCCTGGAGTTTAGCAAAAAACTTGCTGAATCTGCTGAGGGTAAGAACATCTTCTTTTCTCCCTGGAGCATCTCAACTTCTTTAGCCATGGTGTATTTGGGCACCAAAGGTACCACTGCAGTCCAGATGGCCCAGGTGAGTGGGAAAAGCCAACCAAACTCTGACATCTTAAAGTTAAATATCTATATTCTCTTGAAAACCTATTCACCCATGTTTTACAACAGGATCTTCCAAAACAAATAAATACATAAATTGCTACATAAAAAATAAAGACCATTGAAGAATATCAATGTGCTGGATAGCTTTGTTCTCAACTTGACACACCTGGGTTGGGGGAGCCTCAGTTGGTGAATTGCCTTCATTGGACTGGCCTGTGGCCATGTCCATGGGGCATCTTCTTGACTGTTGAGTGATGTGGGCAGGCCCAGCCCACTGTGGGTGGTGCCACCCCTGGGCAGGTGGGCCTGTGTTGAGTAAGAAGGCAGGCTGAGCAGGGGCCAGGGGAGTGAACCAGTAAACAGAGTTCCTCCATGACCTGTGCTTCAGCTCCTGCCTCCAGTTTCCTGCCCTGAGTTCCTACCTTGGGCTCCCCAATGAACTGTGACCTGGACATGTAAGCTGAATAAACCCTTTCCTCCCCAAGTTGGTATTGGTCAGAGTGTTTCTTCACAGCAATGGAGACACAAACTAGGACAATAAATTTGAAAATTGTTTGGAAAATCCTTTAAGAATCTGTATCCTCCAGCAAAATACATAGAGAAATCATGAGGTTATCATCCATTTTAGTTCAACACCAAATATGTTTTATTTTAATGATTAAAACGTCTCAAGAAGTAAGTATTCAAACTTCAAATTTTTTAGTGTCAGAAGGATTTTCTTGAAAAAACATAAGGAGACAGTTAAAAAGTTCTAGTGGGGTGTGATGGCTCACATCTGTAATTCCAGTACTTGGGAGGCTGAGTCAGGAGAGTAGCCATGAGTTCAAGACCAACCTGGACTACATAGTGAGGTCCATATTAGCCTGGAACTACAAAGTGAGACCCTGTCTCAAAAAACCAAAGAAAAACATCAAAAATAACTCTGTTTTTCATGTTTTTCTTTGTCATTCCTTTGTGTAAACCCCAGTTTCCTGATTAAATCTAAAAAAAAAACTAAAATATCAAACTAACACTGTATAAACATTATTGATCTGTTGTAAATGATATGTGCATAATCAGTAATCATTATATATGAATACAATGCTTAAGCATTAATATAGCAGATTTACTTTTAGGTGGATTGTAGTTTGAGTCATTACTGTATAAATATGTTCTTGAGTGTTGCCTGTCTTTTCTTTAACTATTAATAACCACTTAAAATGAGTCTAACAGCTTGCTGTGTATTTAATTTTCCTGCGGCAGGTGCTTCGTTATTCTGGGTCAACATGACTTGTATCAGGGTGTACTTATTCCTTATTATGAGCTGGGTCCAGAATGTGAGAGACAGAATGATCTATCTTCTGTTCTACTGTGGTACAATTCAGGGGAAACAGGGAGAGCCACATCCTTCCTGTTAACTTTCAGACAAAATGCTAAGGTGAACCTGAAGGTTAAGCCTGTATGTGTCAAGCTGTATTAAACAATGAGAAATAAAGCAATCAGGAAGAAAATTCTTGAGTTTTCCTGGGTTAATTGAAGCAATAATAGTTTTGTCTAAATGATGGTCTCAAACAATGAACCTGCATTTCATGTTTTCTACTCTTGTCTGATTAATATATATGTCTAACTGAGGGTAGTATGGTAACATATGCATGCAATGAATAATGATCAAATCCAGATAACTCTCCCCAAATCTCTGTATTTCTTTATTTTAGGAATCACTGAATTCATGTATTTTAATTCTTTTAACAGTACATAATAGATTTTTGTGAAATATCTTCACCTTGTTGTGGAGTAGAATACTCAAACTTAATATTTCTGCCTAACTGAATTTTGATACCAGTTACCCAACATTCCTCCATCTTCTCCCTGTTTTGGCCTCTATTGACCATGTTCTCCTGACAATATGGAGACAAAACAAACTAAAACCTAGTTTCTTCTACTGTAGTCTCACAACACACAAAGATCAATCCTGTAGACCATATTGGTTTTGGGTCCTCAAGTTGAATCAAATTCCGAGGCTATGTACCTACAAATATCACCAGATCCCACAGTCAGGGTAGTTCCCAGGGCTGTTCCTTCCCTACCTGAGATGCAGTCACAGGTCCAGGTTGTTTTATCTGTGCTTCCAACCAGAAAGCTGTAGATCAAGTTTGCCACAACATTTTCATCCATGTCAATTAATTTGCTAGTATGGCTCAGAGAACTCGGGAAAATACCTTTTTATTGGTTTATAATAAAGAGTACTACAAAGGATACAGATGAAGAGATGGGTAGGGCAAGGTAAGAGGCCAAAGGCTGACGGCATCATGCATACCCCCGCCTGGGGCACCAACCCCTGGGAATCGCCATGTGTTCAGATGTTCTCTGAACCCTGTCTTCTGGGTTTTTAAGGAGACTTCATTGCATGATTGAAGGACAGATGGAAAGATGAGTGGGCAAGAATGTGATTTAATGCCAACAGACTAATGTTGAAGAAGCTCAGCAAGGATGTCTAGTCAAATTCTTCTTGGCCTCCTCCTAGGTATTGTGCGAGGGGTCCTTTTGCTTATGAATGCCCATTGTTTAGGAAAGGTCAGAGGATATCTACATGGCCTGATCAATGGCAGAAGGGTAGGGGAGGATTATATTTTTAGTTTCTATGACCTATTTTGGGAAGAGAAATTCTGGTTTCTATGGTCTGGGTAACAAGAAAAATCAGGTGAAAAGAGGCCAAGACAAAGTCAGTGCATGGCTGTAACCATTATTCTTTTGTGTGTCCTAGTGCAGTGATGTGGGAAATAAAGGTTATGGGAATCAGGAGCCAGGGGCCATGAATAGAAACAGAATGTATATACATTGTTCATATCTCCTCTCTAATTCTAATGATAAACGTCATGAGCTTCTGTATATAAGTGTCTGGCTCGCATCACTTAATGACCTCCAGTTCCATCCATGTTGTCATAAATGAGAGGATTTGCCTCATTTATGATTGAATAATATCACACTGTGTATAGTACATTTTCCTTATCTGCCAGATTTAACCTTAGTTGCTTCCATATTTTGACACTGAAACTTCTTTTATAACAACCATAGAGAAAAAGATGGAAAATGAGAGATTTTTGCCTCATGATATTTCCAGCATCATCTCATATATCCAAAAATATATGCAAACAAAGACAAGAGCACTTAAAATAATTTCATTTTTGTCTTTTTGAGATGGGGTCTCCCTGTAGCTCCAACTGGCCTGGAACTCACTATATAGACCAGGCTGACCTCAAACCCACAGAGATCCACCTGCCTCTGCTTCCAAGTGCTGTGATTAAAGGCATGTGCCACCATATCCAGCTTTAAATTTTTATTTAAAAGAGCTTTTGAGTTCCATTAGGACATGACATAAATCAGGTCAGAGCCTCCTTGTTTAGTTATTTATGTATTTTGTGGTCATAAGAATGATGGGCTTGCATTTATAGATGTATGATTTCATAAGGTTATTTTCTGCAAAGCATACTTACTTGTATTTTCGTTTAAATTACAGGCGCTTCAATTTAACAGAGGGCTGGACTTCACATCTGGTCCTGATAGTGAAAAGAAAAGGAAAATGGTATTTATATATTTTAATATCCATTTTGAGGAATTACTTTTAGCATATGTATTTTAGTGGTTGATTTAAGCAATTCTTAGAATATTTGTTAAAACCATTGAAGTTATAGGAACGTTTTTCAAAATACAAACTCTGTATTTTAAGGGTCTTATCCCTTGCTTGTCCTGCCTCCCTTTTACTCTCTCAATTTTTTTTGTTCCACTTTCAAATTTGTTCTTGTCTGCTTTTTCAACTTAAATAGGAAGAAAATCATGCCTTTTTAAAAGTTCTGTATTAATGACATTAAACAAAATATTTTAATCTATTTAAAGTAAATTGTTTTTAGATTTTCTTCTAATATATCAAATAATTTAACTGTGGACTGATCATATATATGTTTAACTTTTTTTTCTGATCCCTTTTCTTTTAAAGGAAATCAACTCAGGCAAGGTTGAAGAAATACTCTCCAATTTCCAGAGCCTTACTGGAGAAATTCTGATGCCTGCAAGTTCCTATATACTTAAAACTGCCAATAGGCTATATGGAGAGAAAACATATCCATTTCATAATGTGAGTGCAAATGTCTTTTGTTAACTAGTGGAAAAAGAAGAGCGAAGCAAGAAGTCAATTAAACATTTCTCTAGGGACTCCTGGGAAAATACTATTGTGGTCAGTATTTCCTGTTAAGAAATGGGTCTGACATCGGATCTTGTAGTCAGATCATTGTGTAGAATAAAGAGGTACCACCAGGAATGGCTCATGAACACATATAGAAATAGGCTGTTAACATTTGTTTCATAAGAAAAGACAGAGAGAAAAACAGCCATGTAGTAAGATAAATCTGAAAGAACCAAGGACCGTGTTGAAAAGGACTGTGACTGGAGTCTGTGTCTGCTGAAGGTTGTCTTTGGGAGCAACGCTGACCTTGGGATGAGAGTAGGAGAAAGTTTTTATATCAGGGTTTTAGAGATTTTGAGGGCAGGGAACATGGAATGATGCCAACTTCCTTCCTTTCTTGATGTCTGAAACCCCACCTATGGAAACCGTGATGACTCTGTCCAATTAAGACTTAAGTGCTCCTCAGAGTGGGACAGTCATTTGCCTCTTTCAAAATTTTACATCACTCCCTTTGGCAAAGATCAAAAGAGCGAAAGACTCAACCATTCAAGAGGCAAAGAGCAAGGTAGTTAGAGAGGACTGGTAAAATACAGTTGTCCTGGGGGTTCAAGCTGTGTGATCCAGTGAATCTTGGAAATTCAGAACTGGTTTTTGTTAATCTTAAAGCTATTCAGACAGAGTCTTAAAGACAGCCTTATTACTGGCAGGCTGTTAGACTCCTATTTGACTCATGACTAGGAAAGACAGTTGAGATCAGTGATCACTGGGAAACAAGAAGTACACAGGCATTCACATATCTTTTTACGAGTCCATAGCCTTGAGTTAACAGGAAGTGATGTCTCATGTTTATGTTTTCCTTTTGCCAGATTATAAATTCCAATTTGGATTAGGTGTTGCTGTAGCAACAACCTCAGTTATGGACAGTTAAGATAAGTGCCATGGAAAAAATATCAAAAGACCAGAGGTGGGAGCCTTGACTGCTCCCTCAGAATGACCTCACTTCTAGGTCACATTTCATGGCGGGATACAGTTTTCTTCAGGGTTAAACAATTCCTGGGGGTTTACTCCGTGGCAAACAGCTTCCAGAACTACAAGCCTCACTGTGTTTGCGGGTCTGCCACAGAAAGGCAACTTTGCCTCTCTACACCATTTGGTGACTGGAGTCACTCCTGTGATTTGTAGTCTTTGCTTTTCATTCTAGTCTCAGTTCCAGGCCTGAATACAAATAGACAAGGTGATACCAGAGTTCCAGAACCATGTGTGGCATGTATTTCTTCTGTAACTGGAGTTCTGTATGGCTACATGGTTTAAAGAAACCATAGGAGTGGTGGGGTGGGAGCTTGCAGTTGCCAAGCTCCATAATTGTTTTTGCTTTTGTCTTTTTGAGTCAGGTCTCCCTGTAGCTCCAGCTGACCTAGAACTTGCTATGTAGACCACTTGGGGCTTGAACTTACAGAGATCTGCATGCCTCTGCCTCCTGAGTGCTGGGATTAAAGACAAGTGCCACCATGCCCCGCCCTAATTCGATTTTTTTTAACTTAAAAAAAAACTTTGAGAAGTTCATACATGAATACAATGTGTTTTGATCAAATCCATGTCCGCTCCCTCTCCTCCAACACCTCCTATATCTTCCCATCACTTTTTTCTGACAACTTTCTTTCTTTCTTTCTTTCTTTCTTTCTTTCTTTCTTTCTTTCTTTCTTTCTTTCTTTCTTTCTCTCTTTCTCTCTTTTTCCTTCCTTCTCTCTCTTTATTTATTTATTTATTTATTTATTTACTTAATGTATGAGTGTTATGTCTGCATATACATAAGTGCATCCATGTCATTTAGTGCCCGTGGAGGCCAAATAGGGCGTTGGATCCCATCTGGAATTTCTGAAGAGGTTATCTTAAAATCTTCTAGGGATCAGAGAAGAGCTACCAAATACTTTTGACATTTTTGACTTTTGGAACAGAGTATGTCGCTAAGAGGCCCAAGGACATTTTGACTTTTAGCCAAGATACTGGCTACTTTTCTTCGGAGTCCTTTTACCCTAACTGCCTAGCCAATTCCTACCTCCTATTCTTATCACACCATCCTCTGAAGGGGTAACTCAAATTGCCGATAGGGAATCAGGATGCAGACCTCTCTGGCTTCTTCCATGCTGAACAGGGATGCAGGGTGAGGCAATTGGAATACCCCTTCAGTGGGTCTATCTAAAAGACTCCCAAATTGTGTAACTCTTATCTGTAAGGAGAAAAGAAGGTCTTTGACTGGTGGTAGGGGATGTGAAGAAGTAAAGGCAAGAGTAGTTAGCATTATACATTCTATACAGGGAACCAGAAAAAGTCAGAACAGGGCAAATTCCAAATGTTCATATCAGAGTCCATTCGGAATTTCTTGATGAGAGCTTCCAAAAACATCCCTCTATTGGGTTCCTCCTCATTTTTCTTTTGTCTGCCAAGGCTGGACTCGAGGATGATAGGCTCAGGATTTGTTTTCAGGCACTTTGACAGTTGCTCGAGTGGCTAGGATCAGTGTCAGTTCCCTCTCAAAGGCTTCTAGATAGGGGAAGAAAACAAACTTAGTCATCATTTTAGAAAAATTGTGGGTTGTCTCCCTTAGCTACAGGTGGGCACTACAGTATTGCAGACCAGGATTTGAAGTCTTACATCTGAGCAGCACTTTCTGCTTAGAAACAAAATCATCAATGAGAAATAATTGTCTAAATAACATTTTATATGGACTTAAGCCTAATGTCTGGGAAGTATAATCCCTTGAACTCTTAAAGAAATATCACTTTATTCTTTGTGTATATTTTCCTTTTGGATGTTTAAGACAATACAGTTGGCCCAAATAAACCAACAATTTATTTTTACTCTTCAGGTTGTTGGAGAATCTGTTCCTCAGAGGTCACATGGGCTTGGGAGGAACCCCTGGCTCCTTTCTTTAACCAGTTCCATCTATGTGAAGATAAACAAAAGGTCCTGCTCGACTGTGGCTGATATCACTTGGAGTTGACCCTCCTCTTTGTAGACTGGACACTGGTTCAAGTCCATCTAGTGGGGTCTCCATGGCCTCCCTGAACAGGGGGACAGATGACTCACCATAGTTGCAGGACATTTTGAGAGATGCTTCATAGACCCCTGGAACTTAGTTGACCTTGGAGGGCAAGGAGCAAAACGTGTCATTTAAGTCCCACTGACCAGATTAGTATAGGCCTCAAAGTATGGTTGTTAAACATCCAAGAAGTTTAGTTCCACCAGTCTGGTACTTTTAATTACCATGTGCTATGTAGATAAAGTTGGGCAAAACCCAAAAGTTCTCAGATAAACTTGACTAGACATATATTTTGTTCCTTAAACTAGTGACTAAACTATGACCTTAGAAATTTTAAGATTATATGTTTATTATTATTATTATTATTTATTTTTATTTTATGTGTATGAGTGTATTGCCTGCATGTATGTGAATGCACCTGTGTCATGCAATGCCGCAGAGGTCAGAAGAGGGCTTCAGATTCCCCTGGAACTGAAGTTAAGGATGGTTCATAGCTGCCATGTGGGTGCTGGGAATCAAAACCAGGTCCTCTGCAAGAGCAGTCAGTGCTCTTAACAGCTGAGCCAACTCTCCAGCCCCAAGATTACATGCATATTATTTTTGTCTCATCTTTTATATACCATAGCAAACCTATACAGACCCTTATCACTTGCTTAGGCTTTCTCATTTTTTTCTGTCTATTTTGGAAAATATCTCCATTCGCGTATCCTTTTAACATCTTTTACATTCTCATTTTCCTTTTTAATAATTATGAGAATTAATAACATTAACAAATAAATTTTCCATCTGTTGTGAGAATTCTTTTCCTGGGGATACTGAGCAATGCTTACCCCCTTTTAAGGTTCTAGTGTCAAACCAATGTTTGATTAAAGTTTTCCCAGGGAACCAATGAATTTACTGAGCTTATTTACAGAGATGACTGAGGGGTTGCTGAGGTGTATGAGTGACCTGGGGGTATGCATACCAGAAAGCCTTTACCCAGCATGGATCAAGCCTTCTCTACCTAGCCTTCCCTTTAGTCCTCCCCAAATCCAGGAGACCATGTGTGATTGGGGCCAAATTACATACAGCTGGCTGGGAAGAGTGGATGGATACTCCAGTGAGGGTCCACTGACCCTGCTTGCCCCTCCTTTAATGAAGGAGCACAGCCATCAATAAGCACAGTTGTGATGATGTTCAGCAAGCAGGCACTGCCTAATTCGATTTTATAAATAACATAAATAGGCCTTATTTCTCAGTTTGGGACAAGCAATATAGAAGGGGATTTTGCCCATGTCTTTCAGAAATATTTAGAGGATGTGGAAACATATTTTGGTGCAAAGCTACAGTCTGTTAACTTTACAGAAGCTCCTGACCAGATCAGGATGGAGATCAACTCTTGGGTGGAAAGCCAGACTGAGGGTAAGTTGACCCCAAAAGGCACTTGCCAAAGGCTTTCTCCAAGCTTCATCTTGTCTGTATGAAATTGTGTCATGTATGGCTATATGTTTCTTTAGTGAAGTGTGAGATGCATACTAAATTTTTAGAACTTTTGTTTCTGTTTTTTCTCATAAGTTTTAGATTTTCAGCCTTCCTGAGAAGTGTAGAAGCCAGGCCACCATTTTAACAAATAAGAAAAACATCACAGTCTACTAATTCCAAAGAGGAGTCCAGGGTAAAAGGGAAGGAAAAGGCAAATCAGAAATACAAAACATTGTTATTTTTTTATTTTAAAGATATATATGTAATAATTGATAACAAAAATAGGGCATTACCTTGCTGATACATGATCATAAACATCTTGAGTAATGAATGTCAAAATCCATCTCCAGAGTCATCCTCCATTAGGGATGTTGCCCTGGCTTGTAGCTTGTGGTATTGCTGGCAATCCATCCTGTTCCTGGGAATGCATCATTCTAGCCTTGCCTTTTACCACAAAGGCTTCTCTGTGTCTGTGTCTCTTTTGAGTCCCTGTATGTTAGCATGTGTCTTTTCGATATATAAGCCTAAATTCCCCTCTTCTTCCAAAGATTCAAGTCAACGAACTGAGGTTTACCTTAATTCAGTAGAGCATGATCTTAACTTGAATAAATCTGCAAAGATTCTGTTTCCTAATAAAGTCACATATTATCAGGTACTAGGGGTTAGAACTTAAATATGTCCTTTGAGAATGGGTCAAAGCTAAACCCACAACAGTGACATATTTCCACAAAAGTAAATAACCTGAATATTATCTTGAGTAGCAATCAGATAAATAAATCAGTTAGAACTTAAATATGTCCTTTGAGAATGGGTCAAAGCTAAACCCACAACAGTGACATATTTCCACAAAAGTAAGTAACCTGAATATTATCTTGAGTAGCAATCAGATAAATTCCAACTGAGAATTTGAAAACATTCTGAAAACAAATGGCAACTCTTCTTGAAAAGTGTCAAGGTCATGAAAAACAATGAATAAATGAGGGACTTTCAGAACAAAGGGGGCTATGGGAAAATTACAACTAAATGTAATTTGAGATCTCCAAATTTATTTTTGGCACAGGAAAATAAAGGGATTTTATCAGAACAACTGATAAATTTGAAAAAAAACTTGTTAAGAATATTTTATTAAAGCTAATTTCCTGGTCTGGATCCTTGGCAGACATAAAGTTCTATGGTTTAACAATAGTAAACAGGGCCTGGTGGCACATGCTTGTAATCCCAACCCTTTGGAGACTGAGGCAGGAGGATTATGAGTTTGAGGCCCACATGGGCTATCCAGTGAGTGCCATACTAGCCTTGGGCTATAAACAAAGACCCAGTCTCAAAAAACAGCAACAATTAAAATTACTTTATCATCACCATTTTTGTGAATGTGTTAACCAGGATACAACTATACCTTTTTTTCTAATATTTATTGCTAGGAGAAAAATTACTGTTGTGTAGTAGTATAATTCTACATTTAGAAGAATTTTTAATTTTGTTCTTCAGTTGACTTTCTTGCTAGCAATAGTATCTGTAAATAAGAACAGTGTATCCTCCTTTTATATAGCTAACCGCACATTTCATTTTCTCTGCCTCGATTCATTAGTTAGCATGTTGGGAACATGTTAAATGATGGTAGTCCCAGAAGATGGATGCTGCTACTGTTTTTGTTTACTGTTGTTAGGGAATTAGGAATTTTAACTCTTTCCCTGGTAAACATTAAGATTAAAAGTTGAAAGAGTCGCAGATAGGAAAGAAAAGAAACCAACCTCCTAGAATCCATATTTGCCTTTGTTAGTCCATGAGGAATGATCATTGACCAGTGGGATACTGCAGCAGCTGCAAAGCCCAACCAGCAGGGAAGCTCAAGTACTTTTGCAAAGGTGCAGAGCCATGGTGGTTGGGTAGGGGATTGTCAAGGACTGCATTCTTAATAAAGGTCTCCAGAGGGTTTATTTGCAGAACCTAATGGTTGGGGTTTATGGGGGTCCCTTACGGGCTTGTTTGCCAAGCAAGGATTGCTTTATAGTTTTGGGGTAAATGGAGGTCTCCCTTCAACTGTGACTATGGAATGATTGATGGTTACTGAACAGGCAGCATATTATTTTTCCAGCATTTGTCTCTTGCCAGTTTCTGAATCAGTATTACAAGTGTTCTGATACTGAACTATCTGAAGCCATAGCCTTTAAAGAAAACTGTGTGGTTCCAGAAACATGGAAATCTGGTTATGTAATCCAAATACACATATTTCTACCAGCCATTTTGAACCCTGACCTTCTGTTCTTATAGGTAAAATTCCAAATCTCCTACCTGATGATGCTGTGGACTCCAAGACCAGGATGGTTCTGGTGAACGCCCTTTACTTTAAAGGAACTTGGGAACATCAGTTCTTAGTGCAAAACACCACAGAGAGGCCTTTCAGAATAAACAAGGTAGGAATTGGTTTAAAACCACTTTGAATTTTCCCATGACATTGCAAAACAGGCTCTATGATAAATCCACTCTTCTTTCTCACAACACGTTCCGGTAATATGGCTCTTATTAGGGAAGCAAAGGTGGGGCGAGGAGATCCTTCTCTGATTCTACAGAGAAATTTCTGCTTTCTTGTTTTGCTCTGAATACAGGCTATTCATACATTTTATCACTCAGTTCTGTCATACACATGTGAGATGGGTAGAGTAAACTTTATGCCTAGTTGGGAGAGGAGCTAGGAGCACCACAGATGGATTATATGTGAAGATGATGTTTATTTTCCTAAGACACTACCCGATTGTCTTCTAAAGCATCTGTACTGCGTTGTGCTCCCACCGGCAATGCACCTTCTGTTGTTTCACGTCTCTGCCAGGACGTAGTAGTGCGTTTTAGATTTTTGCCATTCTGTAGGCATGTTTAATGTGCAATTCCCCAGGGACATATCATTTTTCATAAGTTAAGTGTTGTCTTTGGTAAATTATGTGTTTGCATTTTTTACCAGGTTTTAAAATTGGATTGTTCATTTTGGTGTCCTCGAATTTAATGAAGTCTTTTTTATTTTGACATATTTCTTTATCAGATACGCATTATACTAATATCTTTCCTAATCTTATTGTTTGCTTTTCATTCACTTAGTGCATTTCAGTTCTTATGCTACCAAGACACTTTCTCAGATTCTCAAATGTATGTGAAATATATCTTAGTTTTGTATAGTTGGCATTTGCGTGATATTTGTTACATTATATATTCTTATAAATGCTTGGGAGAATTCACCTTGTTATGGCACTGCAGGCTGCTCTAGAAGTGCTAGAGACAGAAGATCTCTTACTGTCCATTGATGATATTGTTTGGTAGAATTTTCCAGAAGCAAGATCTGGAAAACTGCATTCAGCATTTACCAGAGGGTCACTAATTTTGCTAATATCCGAGACAACTAGAAAGCAATGATGATATAGTATTAGGAAACTAGTGAAAAATTTCTCCTATGATTTTGCTGTCTGCTTTTAATAGACTACAAGCAAACCAGTACAAATGATGTCAATGAAAGAAAAACTTCAAATCTTCCACATTGAGGAGCTGCAGACAATAGGCCTTCAACTCTACTATCAGAACCGTGACCTCAGCCTGCTTATATTGCTGCCAGAAGATGTTGAGGGCCTGGAACAGGTAGATAAGTTGGTCTGTCTGATAAAGATAGGTTCTGTGTTTTCCTTTATGCTTTATAGAGAAAAACATCAATACATGGTTTCCATGTTTCTTAATTTCTATATAAGAAAGAAATCCGCTTACTTTGAGTTTTAACTGCTTGGCCTTCAAACACCATACTTTACAAAGCTCGATAATTTTTTATATCTTATAATTTTGTGTGTATGAGTGTATTTCCTGCATGTATGTAAGTGCACTTGTATCATGAATGCTCACAAAGGTTGGAAGAGGGTGCCAGATCCCTTGCTACTGGAGTTAAAGACAGTTGTTAGCTACATGTGGGCACTGGGAATTGAACCTGGGTTCTTTGCAAGAGTAGCCAGTGCTCTTAACTGCTGAGCCATCTCTCTAACCCTTATGAAACTATAAATGTAATAATACTAGTCTACCATTCCCCCCAAAAGTTAAGTAATCTATACACACCTTGGGCACACCTTCCTCACATATTATTTAAGGGGGTTAATAGCCACAATTCTGCTAAGCCTGAGCAAATACATGCCTAAGTGGACCATTAGCTTCTCCTTCACTAGACCTCCTGTCTTTTTTGCTCAGTGCCTGATTTTTCATATGTGTCAGAATATTAATGGTTCCATGGCCTGCATTAGAAGATAGAAAATATTTCAATATTGTCTTACAAAATGTCTTCTGTAGAGAAGATAAACTAGGGCCAGTGTAGACCAATAGCTATTACAGTCACAGCTTAAATAAAGGCTTCTTCCTAAGAATACGGGGTCCAGAGATGAAGATCTTGCCACATTGTTAATATACATCATTCACAAATATGTCACTGACAGACTATGCTTAGGTCTAGACAACACTCAAAGTAGCAAATGCATATGCTTTGATACAAGCATGCCATTAAAAAAGCAAATGCATGAACATATATAATCATGTATGTCTACATATATGCATTTTAATTATAAATTTCAAAATATAAAGAAAAATAAAAGTACCTTTATGCTCACTGTAAAAAAAATTGCTCGTAAGACTTTGAATTTTTCTTTTTTTCCCCTTTTCATTCTTTCTGGGCATTGCTTATAAATTTTAATTATAAAGTGAAGAAATTTTATTCCAGATTTTGTTCTCAAAATCGCATGTTGATTACATTTACAGTTTGTGCACTCTATTAGTCAGTTTTATTGTTGCTGTGACCAAATACCTGACAGAAACAACTTAAGGGAGGAAAGACTCGTTTTGCTCTCAGTTCAGAGGTTTCCATCCATCCTGGCAAAGAGGCTGTGGCAGAGCAGTTCACCTCCTGGCAGATAAGAAGCAGGGTGGGGTGGAGATAGGAAGGGGCCAGAGCAAGACACAAGCAGGTCCCACTGTTCACAGTCCTACCACTTCCCAATGGTCTATTCAGATTTTGATACATCAGTGAATTAACTCTAACATGTTCAAACCTCATGTTGTAATTCTCCATGGAAGTGCTCTCACTGTCACAACTAAAGGTCTGCTTAAAGAGTCTCTTAAGGGCTGCATAATCTGATAAAATTTGCACTCAAAATTAGATATCATAACATGCCCTAACATGCAGTTTGCCCTGCAGTGTATATGTTGTTGTGGAGAAGACTTCTAAATACCTTTCAGTATTGGGAGTTTTAGTGTAGTTGATGTCTTGCATCCTGTGGGAGAAGTATTTCCCTTTGGAAATACTCTAAATCTATTCCTTTAGTGCTATTATCAAGATTCTCATCACTTAACCAGTGGATATTGCGTTGCCCTGAGTAAAGGGAGAGATCTTAGTAATTTTCTTTACTATTGTTTTTCTCTCTAATTCACGAACTCTTCCTGAATTCCAATCCTACAGCTGGAAAAAGCCATCACTTATGAGAAGCTGAATGAATGGACCCGTGAAGACATGATGGACTTGTTTGAAGTACAGCTTTATCTCCCCAAGTTCAAACTGAAGGAGAGTTATGATCTCAAGACAACCCTAAGCAGTATGGGCATGACTGATGCCTTTATCCAAAACAAAGCTGATTTCTCAAACATGTCTTTGGGGAGAAACCTGTATCTGTCCAATGTTTTCCACAAGGCTTTTGTGGAAATAAATGAGGAGGGCACAGAGGCTGCAGCTGCCACTGGGAGCGAGGTCGGTTTTCGAATTAAGGTCCCTTCCATTGAATTCAATGTAGATCACCCATTTCTTTTCTTTATCAGGCACAACAAAACTAATAGCTTCCTCTTTTATGGAAGATTCTGCTCTCCTTAGGCTCTGTGTCTCTGATTTTGCACCACCATCTGACAGTATAAAAAATATAACATGAGACGAAAAAGCACAGTTATCACAAAATAAGTCTGTAGCTTACACATTTTTTCACTTGTGAATAGTAATAAATAGGTCTTAAGATAATTCATTCTGGTGACCCTGTAAGGTCTATATAGAGACAATAACATCAAAAAATTATTTCCATATTCTCAGGATTTGTCTTAATGTAACTTTTTTTTATGTTATAAAAATGCTATTATTCAACTGAATGTCTTACAGTTCTTGAGCACTTGATCATTATGTTACTGTTACATTTTATATTAATTGATTAATGTAGAAAAATTTTTATAAATGTAATATATTGATAAATTAGAAGTTTCTCAAGAATATCATTCAACCACTCATAAAATTAATTCCCAGTACTTATGTCAAGATTAATGGAAAATTAATAAAGTATGTAGTTTAGTTAGTAATCATGTGCCTGTTGGGTGTTTTTGTTTCATCAAATGCACCATTACTTATTAGCATTAAGAAAACTATTGTTAGGGACATCTGAAAATTCTCTATATTATTTTTGTAAAAATTTTGTGAGTCTAAAATGATTCCAAAATAAAAATCATATTAAAAGTAATTGTATGTAGGGGCTGGAGAGATGGCTTAGCGCTTAGGAACACTGGTTGTTCTTGCAGAAGACCCAGCTTCGAATCCCAGCACCCACATGGCAGCTAACAACTATCCATAACTCCAGTCCCAGGGTATTTGACAGTCTCTTCTGACCTCTGTGGACATTGCATGACATGGGTGCACTTATCTACATGCAGGCAATACATGCATACATATAAAATAAAAATAAATAATTTTTTAAAAAAGAAAAAAATAATTGTATATAAAAGTTCTGCCATGATGACATTCTTTTTAAAAAATATTTTATTAAAAATTTATTATTTTTTATTTTTATGTGCATGAGTGTATTGCCTGCATGTGTGTAAATGTACCCGGAGGTCAGAAAAGGGTGTCAGATTCCCCTGGAACTGGAGTTGTGGACAGCTGTTAGGCATCATATGGGTGTTGGGAATTGAACTCAAGTCCTCTGCAAAAGCAGCCAGTGCCCTTAACCACTGAGTCATCTCTCCAGCCCCCACAATGGTATTCTTTATTGTTAAAATTCTTATTGGATAAAAGAGTAAATTTCTCATTTATAGAAACATAATCTGTTATATATAAAACATTTTTGATGATACCAACATCCCTAGAAAATTTGGCTGTGTTTTATAATTTCTATTTTGTGGTAAGGATTGAACCCAGGACTTTATATTGGGCATGCTAGGCAAGCACTCTACCACTAAGCTACATTCCCAGCCCTGTAATTTCTTTTATATGCTAATATTCTCTAAGACAGAATTGTCTTGTGGTGGTTTCTTGGCTATTAAGTTAATTTTAGAAACCAATTTTTATTGTTCAAGGTTAATTTTTCTATATTCATCTAACAAAAAGACTGGATCTGGCATGGACAGCATAAAATTAGTGTAAAAATATCTTTTGTGAATCTAATCTTCATCTTCTCTTGTAGTATGAAAAGTGATCCTACAGATAAAACTAATAATATATGATATCATATCACATTTTAACACAGCATTCTGTTTCTATTTCTCATAGTCCATGTTTAGTATAGAGGAAATCCCTTTTTTTTGTGTTTTTGTAAATTTTACTTTTAAGACTTAAGTGTTATGTGTCACTGTGAAATAAACAAAGAAGCATACAAGTCAATTATGAGTTTGGATATCAAGACAGGTTGAACTGAGGCCAACTTAACATTATCTTAATGGGTGAAAATTAGAAAATAATAAGCATAACATATTTCATGATCCCCCAAATTTCAGATCAGCAAGATTCATTCAGGTAGTTATTAATTTTCAAAGTGTTTACTGAATAGCTTCTGTAAATAAATAAAGAGGCCCTAGCCTCTGGTCTCATGACATTATGTTGAACACATCAAAGCAGGGAAGACAGATTTAAAGAGAGAGTGGAAAAAATGATTCCAAAATAAATCTTAATATTCTTGGAGGGGTGTGTGTGTGGTGTGTGTGTGTGTGTGTGTGTGTGTGTGTGTGTGTCTTTCAAAGAGGTTCATAGCAGGGAACTTTGCTGTTACTATGTACTCCACTCCCTAAATGCAAATGTATATTTTTCTTGTTTTAGGTGGAACAGCAGGTAATAATCATAGTCTATATAGCAGTTTGAATGAGCAATGTCCTCATGGACTCAAGAATCTGAACACTTGGCTCCCAGTTGGTGGCTGTATTTGGGAAGGCTATAGAATCTTTAGGAGGTGTGACCTTACTGGAGGAAGTTCATCACTGGGGGTGGGCTTTGAGGGTCTATAACCTTACCATACTTGCAGTTTGTTCTCTTTTCTTCCTGCATGCAGATGAAATGTGATCTCTTGGCTTCCTGCTCCAGCTGTCTCTTGCCATGCCTCCATCTGCCATCCATCCCTCTGGAAACATGAGCCCAAATAAGCTCTTCCTTCTATCAGTTGGCTTGGTTATGGTATCTTATCACAGCAACAATTAGTAGAGTATATCAATCTCATTTGTTGCAAAGGAAAAGTGAAACTAATTTAAGGAAGCATCAGAAGAGCTTCTAAGTCCCTGAAGTGGATTGTTTATTGGTTTTGAAGAAATCCTTTTACAGAAAATATGCACATTTAAGTTAGATAGGAATGAGTCTACATATATACATGTTAACAATCTGGCAGAGAAAGGAGTATATATCTCTCCTTCCTACAATTCTGAATTGCTTGATTCAGTTATACTTTTCTGGAATATAGTGTATTGTCCTATAGACTGAGCAAAGAATGAAATAAAAAAGTACATTTGCAGAATTATAAGCAGCACAGGAAGTACAAGTAATGATGTCACCAGAATATTGGAGTAGAAATAATTGGGTTTTATTCTGCCACAGAAGTCCAATTACAATTATCCAATGACAAAATTACCACAGTAATAACCCAGAACTTCAAGGCTATTGGAGAGACCCTTAGAGAACATAGACATGAAGGCTGGAAATGAAGGTAGGAAGAACGCATACTTCTGATGGCGACCAGTCTCCAGAGCTGAGGGAGGTGGTGTGAAGTCCCCTGAGCCCCCTGGTCATACCTTTTCTAGATCTGAAAAAGGATATTTGGTGCTGGTGGGTCCTTCTGCTCTTCTCTGTGTCAGCTCATTTGAGAGTAGCCTTTACATGCAGGCCTTAACGTCCCCCTATCAGTTAGACTAAAAGTAGGTTGATGCTAGAGGCCATCCAGACAAAGCTCTGATGATTTTCCACATCAAACAGAAGAGTTGAATTCGAGAAGACTCAAAAGAAGCATCTGTACTGCACTGGTCCTCCAGGAGGGAGTTTTTAGGCTGACTTCCCACACTTCCACATGCACCTGTGAGGTTTCCTTTAGGGACATTTAACTGGAACATCTTGCAAAAACATATAACCAGTGCAAGACCTGAAGGAACCTAGGTTTAGGGCGCCATCTTGTGCCAATAAGGAAGCATTGGTTTTGAGTTGCGAATCCAACATAATCTGAAAAACAGATACAGACAAAGCTAGAAGGGAAAGACTGGGGTAACTACTAAGCTCTTCGATGCAAAGGCGCAGACCTGTACCCACAGGAATCAAGAACAAATAGGGAACGGTGGCCTGAGAAAATGGAGCAAATAAGAGATCGGTGACTGATGAGAGACGAGAGGTCTTTCAGGTCAAGAATTCAAAACAGCTCCTTTGAGAGAACTGGGCTGATTCTAAGGAAATACCAAAAAGCAATTCATAATTTTATCAGGGAAATTTAACAGAAGTTTAACTAATCTTTTCAAATATTAAGCAGAAATTATAACGCTGGGAACTATAGTGAATGAATTCATAGAGAGCCTGAAGAGCAAGGTAGTTAGAGCAACAGTCATCAGGGGAGAGGAGAGTGAGAAAAGAAATTAAGTTCTCATGTGAGGTATTTGAGAGGACATCAAAATTACAATCAACAACAACACAAGCAACAAAATGTAGTTATCCCAATATCTGCCAAAATAGACTTCATATGAAAACTAGCCAGAAGAGATGGGGAAGGTCAGTTCATATTCATTAAAGAAAAAAATACAACAGGAAGATATTATAATCCTTAACATATATGCACCACACATAGAGGCACCAAGTTACATAAAAGAAACAATATTATTAAATCTAAAATTACACATCGATTCCTCTCAATTTCCCTGTGAACCTAAAACTACCTAAAAAAATCAGCAATCTAAATGTAAAAGAAAAAAAGCCATGCAAATACTAGAAACATTGGTGACATGAGAAACTCAGATAATCATAATAACATACTTTTAAAATCTGTATTTCATTAAATTCAGAAATCTAAAAGACATGAATTTCTTAGATACATATTACCTACCAAATAAAATCAAGATGAAATAAATAATTCAAACATGTCTATAACCAGGAATGAGATTGAAATAGTCACTAAAACTCTCCCAACTACTAGAAGCCTGGGACAGGATAAACTCAGTGCAGAAGAACTAACATCAATACTATTCGAGTTATTTGATAAAATAGTAAAGGAAGGAATGCTTCCCCAATGAACATAGATGCGAAATTCTCAGTTAAGTACTGGTAAGTCAAATTCGGAATTGCATTTGAATGTCATTCATCATGGTCAAACTGATTTCATTCTAGAGATGCAGCGTTGGTTAAACATGTATAAACCAATACATGGACTCAAAGACAGAAATCACATGATTATCTCAATAAGCACACAAAAAGGCCTTCAACAAAACCCAATAACTCTTTATGATCAAAGCCACAGGTATCTGCAACATAATAAAATGCATATACCGGGTTGGAGAGATGGCTCAGTGGTTAAGAATACTGGCTATTCTTGCAGAAGACCTGGGTTCGAATCCCAGTACCCACATGGCAGGTAACAACTCTCCATAACTCCAGTTCCAGGGGATCCAATGGCCTCTTCTGTCCTCCATAGGCATTGCATGACACAGGTGCACTTACATACATGCAGGCAATACATGCATACACATAAAATAAAAGTAATAAAACATTAAAAACAATAAAATGTATATACCATAAAACAATAGCCAACTTCATGCTAAATGGAGAAAAACCCAAAGCATGTGCACTTACATCAGGAACAACATAAGGAAACTTCCACTCCTATTCAAAATAATGCTTGACAGAAAATTTAAGT